TTTTTCATGCTGGAGAAGGCTCGTGGATGACCTAAATGTAAATTTCCAGGAAAAACTGGGAAAATTGGGATTTTTCATCCTGAAGAAGACTCCTGGATGATCTAAACGTGACTTTCCAAGAAAAACTGGGAAAATTGGGATTTTTTCATGCTCGAGATGGTTCGTGGATGACGTAAACGTGACTTTCCATTAAAAACTGGGGAAATTGGGATTTTTTCATGCTCGAGAAGGCTCCTGGATGACTTAAACATGACTTTCCATGAAAAACTGTGGAAATTGGGATTTTTTCATGCTGGAGAAGGCTCGTGGATGACGTAAACGTGACTTTCCATTAAAAACTGGAGAAGTTGGGATTGTTCATCCTGGAGGAGGCTCCTGGATGACCTAAATGTGACTTTCCATAAAAAACTGTGGAAATTGGGATTTTTTCATGCTGGAGATGGCTCCTGGATGACGTAAACGTGACTTTCCATGAAAAACTGTGGAAATTGGGATTTTTTTCATGCTCGAGATGGCTCATGGATGATGTAAACGTGATTTTCCAAGAAAAACTGGGGAAATTGGGATTTTTCATGCTGGAGAAGGCTCGTGGATGACCTAAACGTGACTTTCCATTAAAAACTGGGGAAATTGGGATTTTTTCATGCTGGAGATGGCTCGTGGATGACCTAAACGTGACTTTCCATTAAAAACTGGGGAAATTGGGATTTTTCATGCTCGAGATGGCTCGTGGATGACTTAAACGTGACTTTCCATGAAAAACTGTGGAAATTGGGATTTTTCATGCTGGAGAAGGCTCGTGGATGACCTAAACGTGACTTTCCAAGATAAACTGTGGAAATTGGGATTTTTTCATGCTCGAGATGGCTCGTGGATGACCTAAACGTGACTTTCCAAGAAAAACTGTGGAAATTGGGATTTTTTCATGCTCGAGATGGCTCGTGGATGACGTAAACGTGACTTTCCATGAAAAACTGTGGAAATTGGGATTTTTCATGCTGGAGATGGCTCGTGGATGACGTAAATGTGACTTTCCAAGAAAAACTGTGGAAATTGGGATTTTTCATGCTGGAGATGGCTCGTGGATGATGTAAACGTGACTTTCCATTAAAAACTGGGGAAATTGGGATTTTTTCATGCTGGAGAAGGCTCGTGGATGACATAAACGTGACTTTCCATTAAAAACTGGAGAAGTTGGGATTGTTCATCCTGGAGGAGGCTCCTGGATGACCTAAATGTGACTTTCCATTAAAAACTGTGAAGATTGGGATTTTTTCATGCTGGAGAAGGCTCGTGGATGATGTAAACGTGACTTTCCAAGATAAACTGTGGAAATTGGGATTTTTTCATGCTGGAGAAGGCTCGTGGATGACCTAAACGTGACTTTCCATTAAAAACTGGAGAAGTTGGGATTGTTCATCCTCGAGGAGGCTCCTGGATGACCTAAACGTGAGTTTCCATGAAAAACTGTGGAAATTGGGATTTTTTCATGCTCGAGAAGACTCCTGGATGACCTAAACGTGACTTTCCATGAAAACCTGTGGAAATTGGGAATTTGCACGCCGCAGGGGGCCGCGGGCAGGGCTCACCTGGCGGCTGTGCATCCTCACCGTCACCTGCCCATAGAGGTTGCCCCGGTTCAGGACGCCCTCGCAGCGCACGTGCACCACCCTGGGCGGCTCCAGGGACTCCACAAACCTCCACCGGATGGTTCTGTACCTGTTCCCCCGCACCATGTCCTGCCAGAGAAATCAGCTTGCAATTAATTCGATTATTAATCACTGGTTCACCCCCTGGCGGTGAAAATCAGCTCCGATTCAGTCGCTTCTTGTGGTTTTTTTGGGGATTTTTTGGGGGGTTTTTTGGGGGTTTTTTGTTTGTTTGTTTCTTGTTAAGGTTGGGATTGAAGGTATTTGAGATGAAATTTAGGTTTAGATGTTTAGGTTTTATTATTATTTATTTATTATTACATATTCTTATATATTATTATTATGATTTATTATTAATTATAAATAATAATGTAACATAATGTAATGTAATGTAATGTAATATAATGTAATATAATGTAATGTAATGTAATATAATATAATGTAATATAATGTAATATAATATAATATAATATAATATAATATAATATAATATAATATAATATAATATAATATATATTATTATATAATAGATTATTTACATTTACGCATTTACTACATTTAGATTTAGGTGTTTATTATTTTTATTGATATTATAATCTTTGTGTTATATTTATATTATAAATTGTAATTTTTACAGCATTTTACTGATAAGTTACGAAACAGTCAACTCTCTCTATACAAAATCTTTGAAGGTTAAATTATTTAACTAAGAAATTATGTTTAATTATATTAATTCTATTTTTATTTTTGACTTAATAACCACTCAAAGTCCATAACACGGATTTTTCTGTTCAATTATAAAATAATACCTAATCTTGTGAAAAACAATTAGTTACTGTTTTAACTTCTATTTTGCCTTATATACATTGTTACATTTTAAAATTTTAAGTTTTTTACTTAGAGATATTACTTCTAATCAAACTACACATTTGTAATCTTAGTGTTATTAATCAATTTTGGAAGGTTTTTTTAAGGTCTTTGGTCAAATATTGTCTTTTCTTGTGGGTCTGCGCTCTTCAGCACAGAAAATTCAAAATTTTCAGCAACTGGGATTTTAACCCAACTCAATTTGGATGTTAATGGGAACGATTTGTAATCTTAGTGTTATTAATCAATTTTGGAAGGTTTTTTTAAGGTCTTTGGTCAAATATTGTCTTTTCTTGTGGGTCTGCGCTCTTCAGCACAGAAAATTCAAAATTTTCAGCAACTGGGATTTTAACCCAACTCAATTTGGATGTTAATGGGAACGATTAGAGAACACCGCAAGCGTTTTAATTGGTTGTTGAGGAGTTTTTGGGTTTTTCCCTCCCAGCTCTTTGCTGAATCCAGAAAATAAATATCACCAGGTTTAGAAAACCTTAAAAAAAAATTTAAAAAAAAATTAAAAAAAAAAGGAAAAATTCCATTAAAAACGAGGCAGAGGATGAAATTTATAAAGTTTGAAATGCCGTGGTTGGGTTGATGATCACTGGGGGTCCCTTCCAGCTGAGAAATCCCAAAAATTCCAGGCACTTACGGGGTAGCAGCGCTCGGTCACCAGGGAGTGAAGCTTCTGCTTGTTAAAGCTGCAGAGAAAACACCCCCGGTCACCCCAGCACAGGGAAAGAGGTTCCCAAAAAAATTCCTGCTTTCCCCCACAAATT